AATAGGGCGGCATATAAATAAAATGAACCTTGAACCTTGAAGGGAGGGAGAAAAGAAAAGAAAGAGAAAACAAGGTGGTGTCTTAGCAGGTGTGAAGGATGGTAAACAAAGCATTCCAAACTATACCTTATAACCTTTTAAATGGAATAATAATAATATAAGAATGGCAAAGAAAAAGAATAACTATTCCCCAGAGGGAATAAAAGAGGAGCGAAAGGGGAGTGGAGTTTGCAGGAGACAATTAGTTCCCTTAATTGGTTCGTGACTCTCCAAGAGTCCTTGCCAAGTTCTGCAGAATGTCGGCCTGGCAGCTGTCCAAGCCAGATGAGGTCTGTGACCGTAAATCCTCCCTGGAAAGACTTTGCTGGATGTGAATGAGCAGAATTCACAGTCAATTAATAAAAAGGGTTTTTTGTCGGGACAAAGGAGTTTGCTTCATGCTTTTGGGAAGCCTCGGCCAGAACAGGTTCAACCCTGAGCGACAGATCTACTTTCCCGTTAGAAGCAAATATTTTGGGAAGGCCGAAGGGAAGAGCTATAAAGAGAACCTATAAACCGGCCATTGTCCCCAAAGTTTGAAATCTAAGCGGGTGGGCGCTTCAATTTAAGGGCGGGAACTTCAAGGCAATGCTCTTATATCAGTGACTCTCCTGCTTCAAGGTACAAGGAATTCATCGCCCTCCCGCCAGCCAAGAGGAGGTTTTGTCAAGAATGTCAACAGCTCCTGTTGGTACCTGAGTGGGAAGGACACTCTGGCCATCCAGTGCTCTCTGATATCTCCGCGGCCCAGCTGAGACGGCCGAGCCAACTCCTGAGCGCCCTGGAGGACAAGAAGACCAACGCACAGTATCTCTTCACCGATAGAAGCTGCCGCTTCCTGCTGGATCTTCTCGTGGCGCAAGGCTTCAGAAGGGTGCTCTGTGTGGGCACTCCAAGGTAGGGTCTTAGGTCCCCCCCCCCCATGGTTGACCGTAACCAACGGCCTTTAGCTTTTGCCCTTGACAAAAACATGGGGCCAAAGTTAACAGAATAGAGAAGAACAGAGTTGGAAGGGACCTTGGAGGTCTTCTAGTCCGACCCCGTGGCTCCGGCAGGTGATGCTATACCATTTCGGGCAAGTGGTTGTCCAATCTCTTCTTAAACACGTCCAGTGTTGAAGCATTCACAACTTCTGGAGGCAAGTCGTTCCATTGGTTAAGTCGAGAAATGTCTCCTTCTCTTCAGTTGCTTCCCTCCTTGATTAGTTTCCATCCATTGCTTCTTGTCCTGTCCTGCTTGGGCAGAGGGTCGGGCTAGATGACCTACAAGGTCCCTTCCAACTCTGCTATTCTATCCTATCCTACATTCTATTCTATTCTATTCTAATTCTAATTCTATTCCATATTTTCTCTTCTCTTCTCCTCTCTTCCTATTTTCTCTTCCATTCCAGTCTATATTTTCCATTCCAATCCATATTTTCCCTTCTCTTCTCCTCCCTTCCTATTCTCTATTCCATTTCATATTTTCCATTCCATTCCATATTTTCTCTTCTTTTATCTTCTCCTCCCTTCCTATTCTCTCTTCCATTCCATATTTTCCATTCCATATTTTCTCTTCTCTTTTTCTCTCTTCTCCTCCCTTCCTATTCTCTCTTCCATTCCATATTTTCCATTCCATATTTTCTCTTCTCTTTTTCTCTCTTCTCCTCCCTTCCTATTCTCTCTTCCATTCCATATTTTCCATTCCATATTTTCTCTTCTCTTTTTCTCTCTTCTCCTCCCTTCCTATTCTCTCTTCCATTCCATATTTTCCATTCCATATTTTCTCTTCTCTTTTTCTCTCTTCTCCTCCCTTCCTATTCTCTCTTCCATTCCATATTTTCCATTCCATATTTTCTCTTCTCTTTTTCTCTCTTCTCCTCCCTTCCTATTCTCTCTTCCATTCC